TAGTTTTCGTGTTTTCGTTCGCCGGTTGTTTCTGTTTTCGGTTTATTTGATTTGATTTTTGTATGAAATACGATATTATTATAACACTCTACGTACATTCGCTGTGGCCGACCACAAAAAAGTATATTATTATTATTACATAATAGACAAATATTAAAAACATTGTTTGGCGCAAATACGTATATATATAGAGGTATATTCGGTACAACGAGACGAAACGTCATGGGACAATTATTAATGTTCGATTGACCGAAAATTCCTCTCCACGTGCCTCCGTACGCAAAGCGCGTCGACCGGATATTATAATAATCGCGCCTGTACGCTGCAGTGCGATTTTGCGACGCACGCGAACTGTGCAGGGACACGCGCTCAGAGGCATAAGTTTTCGGTTTTCGGATCGCCGCCCGCCCGTCCGCAACGTCATGGAAACGTGCGTGCTCATACCGAAAGAACTGTCCTTGCAGGCGGTGCCAGTGGCCAACGTACAGCGGTCCAACAACAACAGACACCACGCGGAGCCCGAGATCACCGTCATGACTAACGTCAACGTGCCCAGAGGCACGCTCATCTACCCGTTCCAGGGCACGGTGCGCATGGACAAGCTGGACGTTTTCTCGTTCTTGGACGACACAGACGTGAGTGCCGCCTATATATTAATAGATCCTATATTACATTTTAATATGACATCATTGTTATAATATCATCGCCGCCGCGCTGCGATTTCAAGTTTATAGGCACCATCACGATTATAACGAAAATGATAGATATAATATAATATAATATAATGAGCAGATACTGTACACGAAGACATTTTAGGGAGCATCCCAACTATATACAGCTGCAAGTTGTACACTTATTACTACATGACATCCCAATAACGATATTGATTATTGCTTTTTTTTTATCAACTGTTAAAAATTCATCTTGCAAATTTTAGATTAGATATTCATAGATGCGGATTACCTATACACAATGATTAAAACAAATAAAATATAACCACCGGTACTACCAGCTGCAGCAGTAGGTATAAGTATGATTATATTGATTTACTTAAGACTAAAATAACAATTTCTCAAATAAGTAAAAATTATTAAGTCATATGCCGGTAGCTATATTACATTACCGGCATAATATTAAGGTATATTATTATAAATTTTTATGGTAGATTTAATAATCAATAATTCAATTTAATGCAGACGCAATTTCACGAATATCTAATATAATTTCTTATTTTCCATTTAAACACCAATCAGTATATTTTAATGAACTTAGGTATTCAAAGCAAAATTAATGTTATGGGCATAATTTATTGTATTTTATTAATGTAATATTATTGTATCTGTTCTCATGTAATGGCTATTAATGATACGTTCTCTCATATGTTCTCCCTGCAGATGCCGCACATACCTATACATATAATAATTATAATAAGCATATACAATTTTCGCGTAAGTTCATCGTGAGCTTATCGAGTCGTGCCAATGTATAGATTAATGTTGGTAAATTAGTCGCATAAACATTATAATTATAAAGTAATATATAATATAATAATACGTTAATCTATATATAGGTACTCACAACCTGCAATGCTGTATACTAAATAGTTAGTATTTGTTATGGAATTTTATGATAGGATTGAAAAAAAAATAAAACACTGATAAGTTGTTGATGCTTATTAGACGTCGGATTGTATATAGGTTATATAGGTAGGTACATCATTTAATATTATACTTATAGTCGTATAATTATCGGTCGCGCATTTGCGATGTCATCGACGAAGCGGTTCAGTGCGTTTCGCCGCAGTGTATCATAATGTAAAAATTATCACCCTCAATACAACACAACAGCTATTAAGTTATACGTATATAGGTATTTATCGTGTATATTATATCGTTCCCCTATTTGGGTACGCGGTCATGGCGCTGTACACACGCGGATTCCCCGTGATTAATTAACTGTGGGATATGCGATGTTGATTCTGACGACGTTGGGTGGATATAATATAGAACAATGAAATTAATTTTAAATATAACATGCAACACGTACATGCATACGATTGCAATGATTTTTTAAACGATTCCCTAGTTGCACTGCCTGCAAACCGTTTAAAAAAATATTTTCATATAGTTACACCTGCAGTTTTTTATTCTTAATAAATAATAATAGAGATGAGGTATTGCATTATAATATTTCCATATATACACTTTATATTTTATCTACTCTATTTTATTACGTACATATATTTCTGTGTACTCATACTCGTATTATATTTTATCGCATATGGGTGCAACTGTATTATTGACGAGAGACGACAGAGGAAATTTCCTTGATGAATCTTTGTCGGAATACTTTGTACTTGACCATGGCGTGACGCAACGTTATTTTATTGTAGTATCGGTTACATACAGTTTTTTCTCAGATTAAAAGAAATATGAAAAATAAACATATGTTGTTTAACTATAAACTATATATAGGTAATATTCATTGATTGATTCATGAGGAAACAACCGCGCAATAGTATTGTTGTGGTTAGAGGCGCTCCCATTTAAAGCGGAAAACACGTTATAGGTATTATCCGTTCGCCGGAGACTTAAACGGTGGCACACTATCATTACTAACGAGTAACGAGTCTTCAAAATAATAATATCATAATATAATGACGTAAAATACAATTTATTGCTATATTATTCCAATAATGAATAATATCGAATATCTTGTGTATCTGTAATAATTACACAAAATTTAATTAAAATAATCCAGTTTTTTTTTTCGAATTGAGATACTCTCATTAAGATTACTTCTTTTATCTAATGTAAAACATATTATACATAAGCAGTTTACGAAGTATTAGCGGGTTATTATACTATGGTTTATTCATCACAAATTATAAAATTTGAGTAATTAATACTACTTTTTTAAAACTTCTACCATTTTTTTTTTTTTTTTATAGTTACTATTAAATAATACTAAGTATCAAAATTTTATAGTGATGTATGAATAAAACTCGTTTTATATTTTAAATACTAATAAAATATAAATCATATTTCATTTAATATTTATATACTCAATTAGTTTTATAAATTTATAATTGAGTAAAAATAAAAAAGTTCACATTAATTTAAAATAACTAGTTATATTGTTATTGTTTTTTACGATTATTTTGATTGCCAAATTAACAAACTGAATTCCTGATATATAAGTCTGTAGATTTAATGAGCTGTTAAAATATATTTCCATATTATTCTCATACTCATATATTATAACAAGCTGATATGTGATGTGTTATAAGGTATAATTCTATATTATTGTTTAGACAGATTTCATAAATTTACATAGAAATTAGTGACTGAATATTGTACCTACTTGATTAATGTATATATAATAGTTTTGCGTTAGTCTTCTGATTTTAATTAGTGTTTAATTGAGGCATTGTTCTTTTATTAAAAGAGAAATTCATAATTCTATATAAACGATTAATCGCATGTGTATATTTTTTATGTCATCTTATAGGAGTTGATATTGAATTATAGCCATTAAGAACAAAAAACAAAAACAAAATCGCTTAAAAGTTTTCTCACTAAAATATTCTTCCGTCTTATAAAAATATTCTTATGGTAGGTATATAACAATATTCACAGTTTTGTGAGTATTAGACATAATATTTTTTGTTCGTTATAAAAGTGCACGATAATGTGCAATTTGAATAAAGCACGCACGCCCATAGGTACCTATACCTAACTAAATATTATAATTGACATGTATGCATCAAATTAAAAACTAGAGGAAAGAAAGCCGAAATTTTTTTTTTTTTTGAAACAATATTATGTACCTATATGTATAGCCATCAAGGATCTAAATGCGCGAGTTATGTATATGTGTGTGTGTGTGTTGTTATGTATCGTATATGTATAATATGGTTAACTAGCGAAATCTTACTTAGTTTCTCATAATTCTCACACGTGATTACTGTTTTCACGTGTGTACACACTGCACAGGTGAAACCGCGGCCGGTCATTGTAGACGCGTATACGGCCAGTATACCTGCAGTGTATTTTTTTCCACCAGAAATACGCGTAATTATTATTCTCGGCTTACACATTTTGTGTGTCTTATGTGTCTATGTGTGTGTTGTGTTTCGCTCGAGTTCACGCTATATATACATCGCACAACAATATAATATATAACAAGTACATAGGCACCTGTTATATACCCACAGTACTCAGGTATACAATCATATATATATATATACATACCTATATGCCTAGCTGTATAACGTATAACATGTATAAGTACATGCGCACACATTAGGGGAAGATCATTACTGAAAGTGTTTAATTCTTTTATCTGCAAGTTTTCACACACACAAGTTTCATGGATGTTAATTGCTCCCCGCGAGGTTTACTATGAGACTGCACTGTGAATTATTATATCATCTATATAGATATTATTATTATATGTGTGCGGCTTTCGACTCATGTGTGGCCCCGTCGCCGTTGCGGCCGCATCGTTATTATACTTCCCGTATAATATGTTCCCACGGCGGAATGTTGTATATATTTTTGTCTTCTTCATTGTAATCGCAATGTGTGTGTGTGTGGGTGTGCACGTGTGTGTGTGTGTGTGTATACATATCATATTATGAATCATAAAATAATTACAATTACACGGCCGCATGTGTTGTTATAATTTGCCCGGGTTGTCGGACATTGTTTTGCGTACAACATAATAATATGCATAGGTAGAGTATATACATATATATATTTATTTATTTATAATCTCCTGAAACTACACTGTTGTTGTAGTGTAGATTTATTCTCGAAATTTTTTTTCGGCAGATCGTTAACCTCATTATAATATTATAACTTCGATCTTGCACGCGCCATAGTTTTGTAGCCTATAAACTGCAGCAAGCGAGTGGCGCCTTTAATCGGGGTAGAACTTACATATAATAATAATATTTGGGCATAGGTAGAATAATATATAGACTACACCAGTGTTCCTTAAACTGTATTCCGTGGAACCCTAGGGTTTCACGTAGATCACTTTAGGGTTCCACGAAGCTTAAGTAATTTTTAAAAAAATTTCAAGAAAATTACTTTAAAGTATCCATTATGAAAAAAAAAAAATACTTGTATATTAAATAATAATGTATAAGTCATATGGAATAATCTATCAGCTAACTCTATATTCAATAATCTATACTTCTACTTAATATTATTATTTATTTGTAAATAATTCTAAAAAAAGCTAAAAAAAAGTATAGGGGTTCTAAGGATAAAAAGTTTAAGAAACGCTGGACTACACAGATATTCGGCACCTTTTTAAATTTTTGACAAATGTAATACCAGTTTATATACAGTAGTCTACATCAATATTTAATCGACGTCTTGAATTACGAGACTTGCAATATTYGAGTCACTTGCATATAATAATAAAGATTTTTTTTGGGGGATAAGCCATAGGCGGAACCTGTAAATCACAAAGATCGTTTCAATTCTTTTTTACCTCTGCTACGTTGCCTCTAAATAACACCAACATCATATAATATTAATATAATATTCAACTCAACTTATTGTTGGACCAAAAAGCGTGTTTCTTATCGACTSTCGCACAAATATTATATTAAACATCACAG